GTTTGTGGGCATTTATTTATCTGACAAATGTGTTCAACAAGAGTTCCTTGCAAGTAGGTTTGTATTTCCAGCCTTAAACACTCATTCATACAGACACACTCCACAAAGCCCCGTCCCACTGCCTCAATAAGACAAGAGATAGATACCATGCTTCTAATTTTTGAAAGTTCGTGCCACAGAACAGCGCCTGTCACTGTTACACACAATTTGCCCCAAACGGTTCCCACAAACTGAGTGGCTATTATTAATGCATTTCTTGATTAATGTGGCTATTGAAAAGTATTTTTCTGACACTCCCATGCAGAGTTTAGTGGAGTTGTGAAACAACATGTATAAGGTTGCATTTTAAAAAAGTTATTCTTCTGGCTGCAAATACCTAATCTTTCTTCAGAACAAGTTGGTAGAAAGGAGGAATGGGCGCCTTTCCATTGCAGCACAGCGTAGCATAGGCTGGCCCTTTGAAAGAGGTGTTTCGGTTTGACTTTGCAGGGGTGGGGAGGGGACATTAAGATAAAAGAGAATGTTCAACCAGTGGTCCACAACCCCTCACCCCCCCACACACACAAAAGTTTAAAATTCTGAATAAACTGTCATAATGTGTGTGTAAATCTAAGGTGGATATCTTATACTCAGTAACCTGGGAGTTAGCTATATTTAACTCAGTTGGATTTATGTCAAGCATGTATAGAATTGAGTGATAAGATAGTGATGCCAAAGTCCAAAAACTGGGGCAAAATGGAGTGTAAGTTCTACATGAAAACAGAGGTGACCAAAGTACGTATCCGTTTACAAGCTGTTCACTGAAGATGGGTAAGGTGTGCCCCGAGTCCACCTAGATCTGCCAAATGCCCTGCCCAAACTCTCTGACTCTTCAGCAGGCTTACATCAGAAAAGTGCAGAGCCGGTGAAAGAGGTCAACAGCTGGGGAACGGTTTATTACAAAAGCTGTGCAGCTGCACAGACAGAAAATGCCCCTTTCCTCTTTGGTCTACGCCTCTTCACCAGGCCATCTCGTTCACTCAAAATCTTGCAGCGTTTCCCATGGAGAATACAGCAAATCTCTGTGGCAGATGGTACAGGCCAACCACTGGAGAAGAGTTTACACACTACCGATGCATTACTCAGGCAGCTGAAACATGTGTTGGCATTTTTCCTGCCCTGTGCTCTGCAGGGGCACCCTGCCAGGGCTAGCAGCTGTTTCTGCTTTCCGTTTTCTCCTTCCTTTTCCTCACAGGAGTCATTGCCATTTTGATGATCTGCCAAAAAATTTACCATGTAATCCTAACACGCACAAGCTTCCATTTGGATCGCTCCTCCGCAGCTACGAAACAAGATGACCACCTCTTGGTCTTTGCTTTTGTTTAAAGAACATAGCGATTCGTGTTTCACTTTCTGAACATGGGTACAAACTCGGTGTGATCAATGCCAAAGTCCAAGAAGAACCCCAAGGACATGCTAAGCCAATCACACTGCAGAGTCCAAGAAGCATTAGTCCAGCCAGCCCCAAAAGACGCCGCTTGCCATGGAATCAGCAACAACCATCAAGATACATGGCAGGCGAGATCAGGAACTAGAAGACACTCTGTCGCCACCAAACTCACAATACCAAGCTGACGTTTGCCTGGCTGGGTGGCTGGAGCCCCATTCTGAGCAGATATCTGGCCCGCTAATATCCTGAGGAGGAAAATCTTTTCCTGAAAGAGGCTCCTTATTCCTGAAGAAGCTTCTTCTTCCAAGAAGTCCTTTCCTGCAGCCAAACACTTTTGTCTCTGGGCTCCTAGTGGAGCTTCTCCTTTACTTTGTTGCATTCTTGTGGTTGGGATGGGCTATCCCCGCTCTGGCTCTCACAGCCTCCTTTGTTGGGAGAGGCAGGAGGATCAGGATAGGGTACAGAGACACTCGGGAGGTCCAGGGTTACCAGGATCCAGCTGTTCCTCATTCATGTTGGGTCTGAAGGACTCTAGCCTGCAAGACTCAACTGAGAGAGCTATGGCAGTTCCCCAAAGAAAGAATTACGCCAGAGAGCTCTCACGTCCCAGCATTCTGTGCCACCCAAAAACCTACCTCCTGCATGTAGTCGTGTACGGTCCTTTTTTCAGGGCAAAGTGGAGAAAAGGGGATGTATTACAAGGGACTGGAGACAGATGTGGTTGACGACTCTTGACCCTCTTGTGGCACAATTTTGTCTGATGGTTTGCCAAACCAAACGGCTTTAAAGGATTTGTGATAGCCAAGATGGGCACAATTGTGTGTCTCTATTTCGGAGAGGTCATGTATCCTCTGTTAGGGAGGGCAGTCCTCTCTTTGAAAGACTGCCAAAGCAATGTCTTCCTTTTGAAAGTGTCTTCCACTTTAAGCTGGACAGGCCTGTCCAATCAAGTTGGATTTAAATAAAGGAACGATAAGGAAAGAGATCAGAGACCTAAAGTTGTCCTTCCACACTCAGAACTTGGGCAGCAACCCCAGCACACAGGTCACCCAGCCACAGTCTTGCCCACCTGGGCTAAAACTTTTGTAATTCTATTTCATTTCTCATTTGCATCTAGTTTGCATGTATCTTAAGTGTTATACAAACTATTCTGAAACTAATTCATCTCACTTGCACTTTGTTCCCCAGCCCAGTCAAGGCAGACCTATCACTTTTTGCATTTCACTGAGATCTATATACAATTCATTCAAGGTCATTCAAACCTTGCAGGGTTTTCCTCTTGCCATTTACGCGCAAGCAAAGCATACAGACTGCAGAAGATCATAGACTCATGGCTCTCTGTTGCAAATGAAATGTATGTAGAAAGAGAAAATATCACATCTGATTTGGGCTCATGTTACAAGAAGTCAAATTTCAGTTGAACATCAGGAAAAACTTTCTAACTGTGACAGCAGTTTGGCAATGGAACCAATTTCCTCAAGAGGTGGTGTGCTCCAACATCGGAGGCCTCCAAGATACAGTGGTGCCTCGCTTAACGAGCGCCCCGTTGAGCGATTAAATCGCTTAACGAGGGGCTCTGGGCCATCCCTGGAGCATTCGCTCAGCGATGGCCCCTATGGCGTTTTTTCACTTTGCGAT